AACCTTCTCCGTGTGAGAAGACGCTTTGCTCATCAGTGGGCATTTATAAGCTGATGATGATGATGATGAGTGTACATAATATATCTAAATTCACAGTACATAGTCAAAATAATAACAAGAACGTATGTATTGGCAACAGTGTAGACGTGAAGCAATTCTCTAAAGGCCCAACAAATATATTAGTTCGATTGTAGTGAGCCAATCACTCAACAGTATACAAATTGAGCCGTCAAATGTAATAGACAAACCGGTTACTCAGACGACAGAACTATTACACGCAGTTCTAGCGTCTGAGTATGAAATGATACAAAGATACCTACAATATGAATAGGTACGTGTCTGTGTTTTTATTATAACTATCGTGAGACATACTAAATTAACTAAAAATCGCGGGCTACTCACGTGAACTGTAGCCTACTCAGTAGGCTGCGCGATATCGCTGCGACGGCGCACGCTGTTCATGAGGAACCCCTCTGTGGTTCGAAACTAGTAGAGCTTTTCTCAGTATACCTATTCACGTGAGTTAAATTAGGTAGGTGTCTGTTACTCGCTAAAAAGATAGGATTGAACAATTTCATAGAATGTAGTTACATTATAATTTTGATGGTTTTCCGTCATTCGTTTCTTATTCATATTTTACTAAACTTTGATTTCAGAATACCATACCTATCTGGTATGGTCACACCATATTATATCTAAATCGGCGAACATGACAAACACCTTAAACGCAACACAAGATAACTATTAATTTCTGGCGCTTGTCATGTTGACCGATATAGGTAAAGCGCTGTACAGCGATTTACAAAATCTTAATGTGTTCATCAACTTTTGATACTGACCGTAGATACAACTAATCTAGGATAGATTTTGTAGTTATGCAGTTTTAATTTTGGAATGATTAGTAGCAAATTTCAAGTACGTAGCGTAGAGGTGTAATCCTAAGTTAGAACCTAACGGGTTACCGGGGCTCCGGCTCGACATGCAGGAGAAGGAACAGGGTTTCAGAGTTCTGACACTCCCTAAATCCGAAAAAAGTTAATCAGCCAATAAGGTATTTTTACATACCTACTTCTTTAAAAGGTAGTGTTAACCAAAATGTATGACTAATCAAAAACTATTTTAATCCAAACTCGAACTGCAAACGACTAGTATTTTTTTGATCTGGTACTGATTTTAATACTAAAACAATAAACGGTAGCTCTTAATCGACCCTCCACGCGATACAATCTTATCGATATCGATTAATCGGAACGCTGTCGATAGCGCGAAAATTCTCATTGTTTTATTTTTCTTTGTAAATGAAAAAAGATACTTTTTTGCAAATAATCTTTCTACTTGCATTTTCAACTTGTTACACGAAAAGTTATGCTAATTAATAAAATATGTAAGTATAAAAAATGTTATCATAATATTCCAAAATTAAGGACATTCATAGTACAGATATCAACACTAGTTTTCTCCTCAACAATTCCTAATTAGGACACGTTCCTAATTATAAAAGATACTAGCTTTTACCCGCGGCTTCGCTCGCGTCATAAAAGGATAAAAAGTAGCCTATGTGACATATACCAATACATACAGCGCCATCTATACCAATACTTTTGTTTTCCCTCGGGAATATCAAATTTTTTCGGGATAAAAAGTACCATATTATTTAATCCAGACTACTAAATTACGTCTGCAAAAATTTAATGCAATCGGTTTAGTAGTTACGGCGTGAAGTCGAAACAAACAAACAAACAAACTCACTTTCCGATTTATAATATTAGTAAGGATGAACATACTATTTAATCTAAATAATCACTTATCATTATAAAAAGTAATCACCATTATCTTCCTTCAATCGCTACATTTCTCAACTGGCATCGTTACCAAGAATGATCACCAGGGAATGATTTCAGCGACCGAAAGTTAGCCTGCACTCCAGAGACAAAGCCACGATTATTATTGGCCGAAGCGATATACACTTTATCATTTTGTCTGTTACTTACTTAAGCAAACCTGTAACTGGTATTTGTGGTATGTATAACCTTATATGTATGTCGTGCAAAACAGTACACTGGATTTTAAAACAAACACACAGAAAACATACTCGAATATAAAACATTTAATAGCACTGTCAACATAACCCCAAAAGAATGTAACATCGACCTGTACCAACCCATTTTGTCTCACTACTAGGGAACAAAGAAGCGAGAATGGATCATAATTTTAAGGGAACGGCTTCACTGTATTTTTTCATAAAACAAGTGGGGTACGAACCCTCAACTCAAAGGAAATGCGGTACCATAAAGTTGCAAATGAAGTAATATCGCCGTCGAGAAGTAACTTACTACCGAAAACTAAGTCGACGACTGGTCGCAGTAGCCCGACCCGCAACAGACAACTACCAATTTGCACTCCCAATTTACTTAGTGTCATTTAATTTATCTGAATAAATTTGAAGGAGCGCTGCGACCCGGCTTGCTGTCTCACTTTGTAATTAATTAAACAAATGAATAAATGACCGCTATATATTAAACAAATGAATAACAAAACATTATTTACTGTGAATCCGGAAGCTATTTTCATTGCAAAACTATTGGGTTATAAAGGCAAGGACGAAAATATAGGGTTTTGAATTAATCCTTCTTTGCTTACATCGAGTAAACAAACCCCACCCTAAAGTTGGGAACATTCGATTCCATTCTATAGGCAAATTAAAAAACTTTGCCGCTCAATTTAAAATTCGAACCCGACCTTATTTGTATGCGGCCAGCACACAAAATATCCAAATGTAAACGAATCATAATTCAAGATTATGCTGCATGAAGAAAAATATTGTTGAAATTGAAGTCGTGGGGAGCACCGGGCGTTTATTGCATCCTTCGCGCGTCACTTGCCGTTTTATTATGTCCCACATTTGGTCGCAAATAAACAAGATGATAACCGAAACGTGCCAAAAGAATTTACAACTTTTTACGGCAGCCATATTAGAGAATTTGGAAAAGTATGATTGATTGAAAAATCCCTTTTTGGGCTTTTATTGTTGACATTTATTACTTCTTTAGGTAGTAAACGATGTGGCTGATATAAAATTCATGAATAAGTAAATCGTTTGCAAACTTAATGCTGATTTATCATACTTAGCTGTAAATCTTACGTAGTTTTTAACACGCCTAATTTGTTAGAAAAAAGGAGTCTTTCTCATATTAACTCATCTTCTCATCACTATATTTTTACGAAAATATCATAAACGCCTATAAAACATTCACTCTCATAAGAACTAGACCAATGAAAAAGAAAAATAAATCACTTCAATTATTTCAAAAACTCTTCAGACTTAAAACGTTCAAATAAAATCAAATCAAATTTAATTTGATGTGTAAGATGTCGTAGGTCTTTTAAGCCGCCATTTTGTAATTGGTTTCCAACATTCCAAGATGGCGTCTTATTTCTTAAGTCGAAAATATTAAATTAGGTCTGAATTAAACAGTACTCCCTTTAATAGAACAATTGAGTATGACATCTAAGAGGTACTTTAGACCTACGTAATTAGGGGCCCGTACATTGGGGAATAAGGAAATTGTTCAACTGACATAAATAATTTATAGGGATTCGAAGCAGCACAAGTTTTGAGAGCTCTTCTGTTGCTCGCAGCCAGTCTTAAACAATTATTTTGCCATCAGATACTTATGATATTACTCTGTGGTACATTAAGATGTAATAATTATGAGATGTTTATTAATTTAGTGTTTTATGTGCTTTATTTATGTCAGTTTTTGGAATGTGTTTATAGATATAGTATGCTTATCTGTCATACAAGTTTTCAATTTAATTGGTACATATGTAATTAAACATATGCGTTCTAAAACAAATCAACCTCCAATCTCCGTAGTTCCATAACAAAAAAGTCCTATTACAAACACATTCTTCGAGAAAGTTCGTCGAGAAACCACAAACCTCAACATATAAATTACGCAATAACACCAAGTTCATGATATACTCAAGTTACAAACTTAATTTTGTCGTAAGTGAAACCTATTCGTTACGTTTACTTGAGATTATAATTAACTAGATTAATTTTAGGCTCTCTGTAATTTAATAATGTAATAAACCTATGTAAACTGTCTGTTGGGATAGTTTCAGATCGTAAATAACACGACTCGGTACGAACGTTCTGTCATTTGCCCCTATAATGTAATATTAGTTAACTGTCTTCGGGCCCAGTGCTGTAATCTTATTGGTAGAGTTTAGTACCACTGTGAAGTGGTAGGTGTTGCGTTTTTTATTTCTATATATATATCTAGGTACATGATCAACGAACACTCAAATTAGTAAATAGTGCAATAATAAGTAATCTGAATATCAAAATATCATATCAAAATTTAGACAAAATTCTAAAATAAAGGCACCCATAACCAACAAGCATATCTACATACAAAATGTGTGTGCCACAATCGTGTCATTTGACTTGCTATTGTCTCTGCCTACCCAAATAGGAGATAAGACGACATGCAGTTAAAAAGTCAGAAAAATAAATCTTATCTAGACACCACTGACAAACGGTGAAGGAAGACATTGTGAGGAAACCTTTTTTTTTTTTGAGGGGGGAAAATCATCCAATGACTTCTCCCGCCTGGGCGAGGCGGAAGGGAGTGTCGGACTCTTACTGACTAAAAACCACCCCGTTCCTACACCTGCACTTCGAACCGGAGCCCCGGCAACCCGTTAAGTCTTCCGCGGCTCCATTGTGAGGAAACCTGGGCTTATAATTTCTCATTTTAAGTTTGAAATCGCCATCCCGCATTGAGCAAGCATGGTGATTAATGCACAAACCTTCTCAGTGTGAGAAGAGGCCTTTGGTCAGCAGTGGCCACTTATAGGCTGTTGATGTGATATGACAGTAGACTATTTTAACAAAACGATAAAACACAACTAACTTACTAACTACAAATTAAAAGTCATTAAATATCTAATCCCCATCTCATCAGCACTCAAATGAAACTGAATTGTTGCAGATGGCGATAGTGGCCTGTCAGCTCTCTTGGGAGCCGCCTCACCAGACCTGGCGCTAGCGTCTGACGCATCCGACAGTCTGCCACTGCCAGACCATGATAACGGTCAGTCAATTTTTTTTTTAATTTTCTTAGGACGACTTAAAACTGCTTATTAGAAATATGATGAAGATTTTTTGAAAAGAGTAACGATTAAGTTTCTTGCTTGTTCTTTTCCATCCGAAACTACATTTTGGAACAAGCGCCATTTGTCATTTGTTTTTTGAAGCTGGAAATTCATCGAATGACTTCTCCCGCCCGGGTGAGGCGGAAGAGAGTGTCAGGCTCTTACTGGCTAAAAACTACCCCTTTAAGTACTCCGCGGCAGCCACATCGGCAAGCACTGAAAATTCAATTTGACGTTTCAAAAGTGACAAATCAATTAAAATAAATTTGACTTTGAATAAGTCTTCGTTACAATAGATGGAGTATTGTCCTGTCACTCACATACGCAACCAAACTCTTTCTTATACGTCCGATTCGAGATATTTTCTGAGCGCCTTCATTATCGTCACTTACCATCAGGTGATCGGTCTACTATAAAAAGTCAGTGTGTTAAACACGATAGACAAACCTTTAAACTTGCTAATACTTATGCTTACACAAACAATATTTGTCCTTAATCAACCTAATGTTACTAATCCAAACAATTGCTGATTGAGATCAATTCGTCTGAGACAGAACCGACTGTAATATCAATTCCGTATACATACTCCAAGTAGTATATACATTGAGTACTCAGAACAATGTGCTCTTTGATTCAAGATAAAGTGCAATTAATTTGCATGCAACATACGTACAATAAAGCTTTGTATTCACTAGGCAACAATTGAGGCACTACATCTAATGCTAAACATGTTGCGCAACGTTGTACAACGATGTACAACATCGCGCGATGTTGTAAGCTAACGCGCAACTTGACACGTGTTGTTGTGTGTTTCGGTGGGACAAATACGTCATAAATTTTATTTTTTTAACGTTGCCCCGCACTAGGATTTTATCCTATGTCGTGGGTGTGTTTACAAACATACAAGACCCGAAACAACAATTTGTGTATCACACAAAGAATCGAAACCGCGACACGTTGCGTGGCAGCCAGGCCACTGCACCAACCGTGCAGTCAATAATATATACTTAAGCATCAAATTACTGCTGTAAAAAATGGATGCCACTGAAATCAAAACTAGTCGCTCTAGAGGTATGTTGCAAAAGGCTGATATGAGCAAAATCATCTATAAGCAGAAGCAGAGTTTTGGCGTCACCATCAACAAGTTAAACAGCATGTTGTGCAACATATCGCTCACAAAATGTTGCCTAGTAGGTGCGAGGCTTAACTATACGTCTAAGTAGGTATAGATTATAATACATTAGTGAATGTAAATTATATCAAAGCGGAGACGGCTAGGAAACACTGTCGTGTATGTATACATAAATATATTGTAGGTAGGTACGTACATGTCGTCTCAAAAGCATCTGAATAGCGTACCTATGTCGCATCGCCTTTGACTTATTTGTCTGTCGCGTCTCGCTCTAAATGAACGCTAATGAAAATATTATACTGTAAACGTTTTGTTTTGAATGGCAAAGAACATTCATTTTGCAATTTCATTAATAACTTCATTTAGGTATGTGATAGACAAAAGAATTATTTGATTACTAGCTTCTGCCCGCGACTTCGTACGCATAATTCCATTTTTTCCCGTCCCCGTTCGTGATTTTCGGTAAAAAGTAAACAAAAATGTTGGTTAAAAAGTATCATATGTCGGTCTCCTGGTTCTAAGCTACCTCCCTACCAATTTTCAGCCAAATCTATTCTGCCGTTCTTGAGTTATAAGTGGTGTAACTAACACGACTTTCTTTTATATATATATAGATAAGGAATCTAGTGAAAAAAAGAAGTTACTGATCATATCCGAAGTTAGGCTTATGTACGCAAAATTAGGCATTTATAATTCACGCCTTTTGTCTCCAAAGACGTAGGCAGAGGTGTACATTATACTACTGTACATTGTGACACCCACTTTTCACTTTTTATGTTATGAGTTCCATGTAATAGGGGGTGAGCCTATTACCATATACCGGGCACAATTCCAGACTCCGTGCTACTACTGAGATTTTTTTTAAAAAACCCGGTAATACTTTGCCCGACCCGGGAATCGAACCCGAGACCCCTTGCCCGGTAGTCGCACATGCAACCACTCGGCCAACGAGGCAGTCCTGGCATTTATAATTATCATCACCTTAAATCTAAGTCATAAACTAAAATCATGGACCAATAAACTATTTCTAATCTACGGTCAAAGGAAGTCTAGGTATCAATATCAATACATAAACAAGAAAGAAACATAAGCAATTTCAATTACAAAATTAAAATCTACTTCATAATGAAAAGCAAACTTTAGAAGGAGTTAAGCCAAAATATATGTATTCCTAATGACACGCTTATGTTCGGTGGATTGATGAATGCGGCTTTAAAACATTAAGATGAATAGATCCGTGGGTTCTGCTCCATTCCGTGGAAGTTTGTTAGATTGATGTGTTTCGACGACTGACACTGGAGTTAGGAACGCCCGTTACTTCAGTTTAGAGACAAGAGACGTGATATAGGACCATTTGTAACAACCTGTTACATAATTCTTTGGTACTGTATTGAGATTTATTGTGGTGTTTAGAATATGTTTAAAAGAAAAGAGATTTACATACAAATTGTTTGGTTTCATGGCATCGTTTAAACAGAGAATGGTCTGAGAAAAATATTATCGCCATCAATGTAACTATAAATCAACTACAGTACCTACTAACACATTTCATAGTAGAAAAATACTGTATCATAAAATCGGTGTCAATAATAAATCGATTTAAGTTTTTTTATAGCATAAACCGGTAAACGAGCAGACGGGTCACCTGATGGTAAGCAATCGGCGTCGCCCATGGACACCTGGAACACCAGAGACGTTACAAATGCGTTACCGGCCTTTTGGAGATTAGGAGTTTGAGGATCGTTGGGGATTCGGGGATTAGGGAGATTGGGGAAGAGGAGGGTAATTCGGCCTCCGGTAACCTCACTCACACGACGATACACAACGCAAGCGTTGTTTCACGTAGGTTTTCTGTGAGGCCGTGGTATCACTCCGGTCGAGCTGGCTCATTCGTGCCGAAGCATGGCTCTCCCACACTTATCTATATACTTAAGTACGTAAATTTATAAAAAAATTGCTCCGATCACAAGGAAAATGTCCCATTACTAACAACGATATCCAGACTTTAGAATGCTCAGAAGCCTAATAGCCTAGCTATCCTACCAATGCTTATACTGAACTATCTATTAATTGACCTAGAACATTAAATATCTATTGTCTAATGAAATTAATATTCAGTTGTCCAAGTCACTTTGATCGCTCTCATAACTTCGTTAAGGCATTTGCATAACTTAAGCACTTAGTTTGAATAAGAATCTTACTAGCCACAAGGGGTCAATTTAATTAATAAACATAAATAATTAAATAATAATGTAGTAGTGCCGGCAGTGTATACATTTATCATCATCCTTACTCTACCAGTGTGGGAGAACCATGCATGGACCGGCTCGACCGGACCGATACCACGGCCTCACTGAAAACCGACGTTAAACAATGCTTGTGTTGTGTTTCGTCATGTGACTAAGGTTATCAGAGGCCCAATAAATTCCCCAATTCTAAATCCCCAACAACTCTCAAATTCCAAATCTCTAAAACGCACTTCTAACACCTTTGGTGTTCCAGGTGTCCATGGGCGACGCCGATTGCTTACTATCAGGTGATCCATCTGCTCGTTTACCGGCTTATCCCATAAAAAAATGAAACGACTAACGGAATACACAATACACATTTGACCGACCGAATTTTAAGTGACCAATTAACAGCGCTCTCCCATAGACCCTGAATTGAACTGCTATCTCCAACTCGCTGGCTTAGTGTGGAATTAAGAAGCTATATATAGGCCTCGCAGACGTGAACTAGACTGTCAACACACACTGTTATAGATGTCATAAATTTATGAAGATATAGTTCTTAATGATGTAGCAATAGATAGGTACATCAGCGTAAATATACCTACTTTCGTATTTATTTATTTAGCCAGAAAAGATAGAAGTATGAAGCACACAGGACAGACCCGTAATAATCTCAAACGTTTTACACCACAAACCCAGACAAATAAATTAACCAAACATTCAAATACTGAAATATTACGTTTAGAAACCAACTTATTTAGTTAAACCATTTATTTCCGTTTGTGGACTTACCAAATTTATCTGCAAACAGCGAAATGCAAGAGCGTCATATCACAGCAATACACAGTTCACATTTGAACAAGTTGAAAGTTCTTAAAGAGCCGCCTAAAGGACTATTTAATGTTCATATGAAGCAATCCCTTGGGGATCCTAAAGTGGCGACCTCTTGCGAGCGCCGTTTGTAACTTGTCAAAGGGAGTTTATTTTCTGAGTGGCGGTTTGAGCTAATCCTGTCACTGGCTAAGTGGTTGATGTACGGAGAATTTGCAGATAAAATTAGGTGCTTGTGTTTTAAACGTTAATGTGTAGATCGGTTTATTCTTTTTTGTATCTACATGGGTATATTTATACTTGGACATGGCTACTAGCACCTAATTCGTAATGCAGTAGAGATCACAATATCAACAGTCCTGAAAAATACGGCATCTCTCCTACCATTTCTTGATAAACTCCCACATCAGATTTGCTAAAACAGGCACCTTATTAACAAAAGCGAGCTACACCGCGATATCCAACACCAATAAACTTTGTAGTAAAACAACGCGAAACAAAATTAACCAGAAGATAATTAACAAGTATCAGAAACAACCGCGCTTGACGTACAAGCTTGAGGTAAAAACCTTAGTACATTAAAGTTCTGGCAGGCAACAATTCAGAAAGAATTTAGAACGTCTAGAATGTACGGTGTCAGTTGCAGCCCGCGAATGTAGCGAGGTAAAATTACTTTGTATTTTACTCACCGAACTATTCGCAAAAATCTTCTGAGATACGAAAGACGTATTTTGTACACTTATCC